TTCTTTTTATCTCTTTTTTTCTATGTATTTTTTCTCTCTCTCTCTCTCTCTCTCTCTCTCTCTCTCTCTCTCTCTCTCTCTATTTATTATCTATCTGTCTGTCTGTCTATATCTATTTACTTAGTATCTGTCTGTCTGTCTAGCTATCTAAGCTGTAACCATTGTGTTCTGAAACCAATGGGTTAACCTCTAAAACTCAGAATTTCTGAAACGATAAGGACAAATTACATTTTTGGAGGTAAAATTGAGTGTTTAATTTATCAGTCCCCCACACACAGGCTAAAAATTCACAGAAAAGGAAAACTGCAACAGATGCATCCCAAATAATAATTGGCACATATTTCCATAAGAGGTTTATTAATATTAGCGCTCATCCTGGGTCCAGATTGAGCTTGTTACAGAGGGCTGTGGTGTATTTACAGCTTCCTCTCTCATTTTCAGTCAGGACATAAAGAAAAAAGTTTATGAAAAACGAAATAAAGGACAGCTAATCATGCCGATCACATGCCTGAGAAGCCTGCCTCTGCCGCCCATCATTCAGAATCCCTTAAAAGACCTGGTGGGAGCCAACACCAAGTGTTTAAAGCAACAATGTTTCTATGATAAAACAACTCAAGCAGAAAGAACCTGTAAATAAGAGGATGGATACTTACTTTTTTAGTGGGCAGGGCATTACATCTTTGCTCTCTTAAGCTGCTATGAGCACAACTGTTATCTTACACCTATAGACGTGTCACATAGCATGTCACATGCCAGGCACTGTGATTCCACCACCAGCCACTTTGCCACCACTATTTCCTGATCAACGGGAGGAACCAGTGCATCAGGTGGTACCTTATCGGGCACAAGTCATGGATATGGTATTTGTAGCCCTTTAAGCGAGTTTTAAAATTTGACCTGCCACGAGGTAAGTATTCAAAATATTCTCGTATAAGTTCCTTTCCACCGCATATGTCTGTCCCAGTGGAGGATTCACTTTACGCAATTCTTATTGATGTGTTTTCAAAGATTCACCTCTTCCTCCCTTCTAACATAAGAAATACAGTTCTATACATACAGAAACTGTGTATTTTATCGATGCAACCACAGTGTGAGTCAACCTGCGTCAGTCATTGTATTAAAGAGGTGAAGCGCACTTACATTGTTCATGTACTCGCTCAGCAGGTCTTGAAGGGCTTGACGCACGGAGTTGCACTCGGCCACGATTCTCTCCCTCCTGTCGTCCCGTGTGCACGAGGAGTCTGCCATCAGAGCCGCCCCACTGATGATACTTTCCAGCCGCTCTTCCAGAGACGGGCGGAAACGGGCCTCACTGAAGGTCATTGGGTCCAGAATGATCTTGTTCTGTAGGGCCAAGAAAGCAGAACATAATTAAACTACATTGCAGCCATTTTCTGCCCATAACCACTCCAGCGATGACTGCATGGTATTTCTCAGGTGACAACATTGGAACATGCCTGCAGTTTTCAAGAACAAATGGCTCTGTAAATGTTTTTTTTTTTTTTTAAATACACCCCTGTGTTTTGGGGTTTTCTCAATAGGTTTCCCAAGACCTAGGATTTTCTATGACCTCTTGGCTTGATGTCTGATAGCTGCACACCTCAGAAGTCAAATAATGAGAAAGAACAGATGTAGTTCCCGCAGGGAATGAGGACATTGTATCCTTCATCACTTCCTACTAATGCTAAGGAAGTAATGCTGCCACTGTAACAGTGCGGACTTCATGTGCTCACCACCACTGCAGTGACGCACCCTATGCTCCTTAGCCCCATCCAGTGGCCATAATTGGTATTATATTATATTCAAGCAGAAAAAAATATACTAGGAACATTTATTGTTGCCTCTATTTGCAAAGAACAAATGTTCACAGAGATCCGCATGGCGAATGGCTCTACAATTTTTTTTTAAAAAGACCCCACAGGCAAGGCAATTCAAAGAATGTCCTGTCATTTCAGTTAATATCAAAGTGCTGTTTTAGTTTGCACTGAAAAAAGTAGGACAGGTTGCATTTTTACATGTGTTGCAACATCTCAAACTGCATCGCAGAACACTGTGGAGCCTAGAGTTGAATGTACTGTATTTGTTACATTTAAAAAAAGAAGACAGTAAACGGTGCAATGCATTTCAACAACACATCGCACCATCCCTACGCAACACACATCGGAAGGCGTGCATTATATAGAGAATAACATGTGTCCACTGGTGTAAATGGGCCTCAATTCCTTTTGTTTGCTTATTGCCAAGTTAGATTCATGGACTTCTATTCTTACTTCAACCACAAAGGTAACATTTCCATGTGATCATCACATTTTATATGCTATCATTTCATCATTATATCTCATACACAGTTCTACCCTCTGTGTAATAAAGCTGCACATCACTTGAAATAGAAGGGGTCAAAAATAGACCTTTGTAATAAACTAAATCTCCATTTATACAGTGTTATAGCAGTTCAGCCTTCCCTCTCAGAGATAGGTATGTGTCAAATATTAAGCTGTATTTCTTCCTTCCATAGCATGGCATGGTGTCATAATGACAGTTTTATGAGTACCTGTTGTCAGCACTGAAATTAGTTGTTAGGTTAGACAGCCTGTGGGCCCACACCGAGGGTGTGCTTCTGGTAAATGACATACTAGACTGAGCTGCCATCATAATTAAACAGTGGATATTTAGATGTTTATTGGTGGCTTCTGGTAAATGAGGGAGAACCTACTATACAAAGAACCTTCCTTGAATGATAAGACTGCACTACAACCATAATTATACAGTGGGCATTAGATGTTTATTGGTGGCTTCTGTTCAATGAGGGAGAACATACTATAGATGTTCATTTGTTGCTTCTGGTAAGTAAGGGGGAGCATACTGTGCAATGGGCCTTCCTTGAAAGATAAGACTGCACTGTAATCATGATTAAACAGTGGACATTTAGATGTTCATTGGTGGCTTCTGGTAAAAGGGAAAACATACTATACAAAAATACCTTCCTTGAAAGATAAGACTGTGCTGTAATCATAATTAAACAGTGGACATTTAAATGTTTATTGGTGGCTTGTGGCTTCTGGTAAATGAGGGAGAACATACTATACAAAGAATATTCCTTGAAAGATAAGACTGCACTGCAACCATAATTAAACAGTGGGCATTAGATGTTTATTGGTGGCTTGTGGCTTCTGGTTATTGAGGGAGAACACACAATAAATGTTTATTGGTTGCTTCTGGTAAGTGTGGGAGAGCATACTATACAAAGGACTCTCCTTGAAAGATAAGACTGCAATGTAATCATAATTAAACAGTGGAAATTTAGATGTTCAATGGTGGCTTCTGGTAAATGATGGAGAACATACCATACAGAGGACCTTTCTTGAGAGATAAGACTGCACTGCACTCATAATTCAACAGTGAATTACTGAACCGAAGGGATCCTAGGGCCGAAGCTAGCCGAAGGATCGGCCGAAACCTACGGCCAGATCCTTCGGCAGCTTTGTGAATAGACCCCTATATGTAAAATATGGAATAAAGTAAAACAAACCATAAAATTGTAATTGTAATTATACAGTGGGCATTTTAGATTTTTGTTGGTGGCTTCTGGAAAACAAGGAATAACATACTATACAAGGGACCTTCCCTGAGACATAAGACTGCACTGTAATTGAAAATAATATGGGTGTGTAAAAGGTGCTAGGTGTTCTTGCTTATGAAATCCCACATTTGGGAGTGGGATCCCACACTTGAGTGATTCTTTTTGAAGTATTAAACATTCTTGGTGAGGCTGCTCCAACACAAGAGGGAATATACTGTATATAAGGACATTCCTTGAGAGATAAAACTTCACTGTAATCATAACTGAACAGTGGACATTTAATGTAGAAGCTCGCTGATGGCTTCTGGTAAGTGAAGGAGAGGGTACTGCCATGGTCATTGGGACTAAAAATTAAGAGAAAACCCAAAATTCAGAGTTTGCACCAGAATAAGAGGTAAGGGGAGTTTGTGTTCTGGTGCCAATTGTCTAAGAGGGAGTTTCTGCAACTTTCAGAAGATTTACTCTCACTCTCTTCCACCTATGTCTACTAGAGAGGAAATGAAGGAAAATCACTCCAATCAGACACAGATGGTAGTAAAAAAAAAAAGGGCAACAATTTTCACCTGTAACCCTACCCTACACTATGAAAAATGGGGGCGGGGGTGGTGTTGGCTTTAAATATACTCTAAGGGGTCTATTTATAAATGATTTGACATGCATGAATCTCCAATGTGTTAACAACAGATATGTCCATGTACATGGTACATTAACATTGAAATATACTCTAATGGGTCTATTTTAAATGTTTTCACCCAAAATTCACACTTATTCAACAGATCTAATTAGACAAAATGTGTGAATCCGAGGTGAAGATTGCGAGAATCACCCTGAAAACATTCATAAAAATGTTCTGTCCCCTGACTCTCGTACGATTTTGATTTAACTCACAGTGATGTTCTGTATCACCTTTTTAAGTGATATTTCAGATGAATGTGGGCCAGGGTCTTTCTTCCATTCTGCCACACTGCACTAGGGGAATGAAATAGACTCGATTTGATAATTATCTGAGCTTTATACCCTCAGCTTGCTCTTCTAACATCTTAAAATAATCAGTTCAAAGCTTCATCTACCAATTACCAAAAATGAAAGCAAATTGCCAACGCATCAAAACTCTCTACAAATCCGTCTCATTTTTCCTGACTGAACGGGCAATATAAAATCGGCAGAAAAAGGCTTGTTTTATGTTTGGCAAGAAATCACTTAACAGATGGTTTGCAGAATGAGGTTCTCCAGTCTGAAAGAGAACAACAAGGTGACCCCAACGCCTGTTAACGTGTATCAATTACACTTTTAGTGACTTTTATGGCGCTTTTACGGTTCTCCTAACGTTGGAACAGCCTGTGTGCTGCCGCTGAAAACAGGATTTGACCTGCATGAATCTCCAATGTAGCAACAATTTATGTTTTCATGTACACGGTACATTAAAATTTTTTTGAATGCAAGAATTTTACGTATATGAAATAAAATACAACAAAGTGGATTAAAAAGTGAACCTGTCAGCCATTTAAAACAAAAAAAAAGTAAAAGTGCTACCAAGGTATTAATGAGATGCCTGCCCTTATCTTTGTTAACTGGAACTCCATGCTGTGTGCACCCTGTGACGGACTGAACCGTCACTGGGGCTGCTGGAGGAGCCTGAGGGCTAGCCTCCTTCCTACTGACTACGGACCTAGGGCTGCAGAGATTTATTACCCCGGAGAACTTTGTTTGCTGTGTGTGTTTTCCTGTTTAATATTTTATCTAGAGAGAGAGCTTTTCACTATTTGACATGATTTGAACCATCCGGACTTCCATCTTGTTTGGATACCATCTCTGCTAAACGTAATTTTGTGAAGGCAGCAGACTGTCTGGAGTGGCCATTGTTTAGGGTGATGTGATCAAGCTCTTATCTGATTAAGGACATTGATTTCAAAGAGGGTCTGTGTTTAAGGAATTCCAATGGCTGTCTAGGGGTGGGAATTGTTCCATGTAACACACTGAACTTTTATCTAATGAACACACTGAACTTTTATCTGATTCTGTCAGGTATAAACTTTGTGTGCTTTTTTCCATAAAACCAGTTCATGTTTCCACTCCAAAGTCAGTGCTGTTTGATTCTTGAGGTAAGTCCATGCTATATTCACTGGCTTCTGGTTCCAGCACCCAGGGAACAGCCTTAAGGCAGAGATATTCTGTCAGGGTATCAGGGAGTCCATCACACGCCACTCTTAAACTACTTTTACTTTCTTACTTATGGGGTGGCTTCCTTGACTTCAGGGCTAAGCCCAATCAACCCTTTATCCCCCTGTTCAATGAAAGAGCCCATACTGGTCACCAAAGCTCTCTTATTGGAAAGTGGGATGATAGGAGGTGAAACTCTACACATTATGGCTGGCTCCACCCTTATGGGTTAGCATTATGATGCTATTTTTGGGTGCATTTTCAATATGAATTGATGCGCATGGACAGTTCATGGAAATTACTTCTATGGGCCCCTTTAAATTCTGAACCTTTGTGATATTTTAAGAATATCAATTGACTTTCACTTACTTAATAAAGAGAGTCAATGTCAAATTTATATAGTTACATAGTAGGTAAGGTTGAATAAAGACTCAGGTCCATCAGGTTTCATCAGATTCAACATGGTTCAAGGTTCAAGTGTGTGTGTGCTGCTAGCAATTCCCATAACCCTGTATATTCCATAACCTGTATTTTCTTTAATGTATATGTATAATTTGTTAGTTTTGCTGAACATGGTCTAAAACCCTTCACTGTATTTATTAAG